AATGGTTCAGTGTCCAATTTATCTGAAAGTTGAAAAGCTCCAATACAAGCACTTTGTTCTAACATATTGGTTCAGTGAAAAAGTATTGCCCCCACAACCTGACACATTCTATATTGCTCGGACTTTGGTACTCTTGTTCGAAATGGGTACATGTCCAAGAATCCTACTCAAATAATTTGTGAAATTTCTAAATGAATTTAGCCCAAAATGAAGTGCTGAAGTGTCCTACCCATGTTTAAATGTTGAGGATCCGACATGGGTACTTGAGGTAAAATGAAGAGTTTGAGTAACATAGGACACATCATTAGTCAGAGCAATTCTTTACAGATGGGTGGCATGGTTTACAAGGATTTTGAGAGGAGATATACCTTTTGTATTCCATTCCTTAAAAAAATTAATTGCTAAATGTGGCCTATTATATAGGGACAAATGGTGTACTATCTTAGAGAGCTAAATAAGATTATTCGGGAAGTAAAATTAGGAGAGATAACCTTATATTAGGAAGGGACTTCTGAACCAATAGTTGAGTGCTTGAAAGAAAATGATATCTTTTCCGTCCTTTGTTCCTTTCTTAATTTCTAGTTTTCTACCTTGTTTAAAATAGTGGGTACCTTTCAATCGTATATTCAGCCTGCTACATTATTCAGCAAAAAAAAGTATCAACTTCTTTACCCAAAATGAATACATGTGACATGATGAGGATTGCTTGTAAATATTCTGACTCAAGTCTTGTTGACACAGTAAAAATGTTATGAGAAGATTTTATTATGATTATTATTTCCATCGGCAAGAAAACCTTTGGCGCCAAAATGCTCTGAAAACCCTGCCAGCCCTCTTGAATTCGTCAGATATGCTGGCTTGTGGAGAAGATTTGGGGATGATTCCTTCTTGTGTTCATCCTGTAAGTGGACTCCTAAATTTCTTTGCTATTTTCATCTCCGTGTACTAGAGTAGCCACCTTTGTTACTAATTATAATTCATGCAGGTCATGCAAGAGCTCGGATTAATTGGCTTACGGATTCAGCGTATGCCAAATGAGCCTGATTTGGAGTTTGGCATTCCTTCCCAATATGGGTATATGACAGTAAGTCATCTATAACCTCCTCTTCAATGAAAAGTTATGTTTGTACACCATTATAGCTGGTATGGAACTGACTTACTATAAGATTAAGGTAATTGAAGAAACAGTTTTGTGATATTTGGGAGTTTATATTGCAATATTGTAACCAAAGAAAGTTGAAAATTGGGAAAATTACCAAATACAATACACATGCTTACTCTGTAGAACATTTAGGGTTTATCACTTATTTGTCGCCATTACTAGTCTTATGTAAATAAATGTCATTGGAGAAATTTTATTACCGATATAAAAAATACCCTTTATATAACAATCTAACTACACTTTTTTTTTTCTTTAATCCTTTACCATCCTCTCTTTAATAATTTTTTTTTAAGCAACAATTTAACTTTGTCATTTATGTGATCCAACCTAAAGAAACGTGATGTAACACTTTTGAAAGGTTTGTTACTGTGTTGTAAACTTGTAACCGGAATATGCTTTGAATGTTGTTTCAGGTATGTGCTCCATCATGTCACGACTGCTCTACTATGCGTGCTTGGTGGGAAGAAGATGAAGAGAGAAGACGTCGATTTTTCAAGACTGTAGTGGGATCAAATAAGCTACCACCCAGCAAATGCACACCAGATATCGCTTATTTTATCATACGCCAGCATGTTGAAGCCCCTTCAATGTGGGCTATTTTCCCTCTCCAGGTACAAATAGACCTCTTTTCATGCTGTCATTATAGCCAGGCGATGGATTATCAATTGACTTCAGAACTTGTCAACCTTTTGTTTTCAGGATCTACTAGCCTTGAAAACTGATTACACAACACGCCCTGCAACCGAGGAGACGATCAATGATCCCACTAATCCGAAACATTACTGGAGATTCCGTATGTTTAAGCTCCTATTTGTTGATTTTCTCTGTTTTTTTAGAGCTTTCAAAAGAAATGAAGCTAAGTTTATGAATAGAATGAAAGTCTTGCTCATTTTGTACTTTGGCAGACTACTTTGTTTCATGCTTTTGAAAGACTACTAAGCTGCATTTTCATCAGTTGATTATGTGTCAAATAATCTTGATTCCAAAATTTCAACTTGTAGGTTCCCATGTTACCTTAGAAACATTGCTGAAGGACCAGGAACTGAAGACTGCAATTAAAGACCTTGTACGTAGCAGTGGGAGATCATATCCTCATGATGATGAAGAAACACTAGCTGCTTTAAGCAAAGGGAGTCAGCCGAATGCATCAGCATCGAACATAGTCCAGCCGAATGGTGTCTCACAAAAGGAGGCAGTGGCAGTTTTGTAAAGATTTTCTTGTAAGACCAACTAAGGCAGTTTGCCCAAAAAACAAACTGAAAAACACCAATCATCATGTAGTAATAATTTGTAATTCTGTAGACAATAATCTGGTATATCCAATCTTTCTTTTGGATAATATTGAATAAAATTCTTTGATATTAGTCTAATATTTACCAGATTTCACGACTTGATTAAGTCATGACTCATGAGGTTGATTTATCAGGAATAATTCAGGAGGGCATTGATGTCATAATTTTTTTGGGTGACATCTTATTGTAAGAAAGGGTTAAATGTATAATAAACACGCAATTTTAACTTGAAAAAGAAACTTCATATATAGAGGAAAACCCCCTGAAAATTCGCTATAAGAAGTAATAAGAGAGTACAACAAACTCACAAACGAGTGTTCACGCAGAATTAGTGAGAATAGTGAACTAAATCACTAATAGTAAGATAATATTAGTGATAATAGTGAACTAAATCACTAATAAATAATATTAATTAGTGATAATAGTGAAGTAAATCACTAATAAATAATCCAAGCAAAGGTTTGAAAAAAATAAAAATAATAATCCAAGGCTCCAAGCAAAGATAGAATCTTGAGAATGTATTATGCATATCAATCCAGAAGTTTAGAAATGGGTTAAGAGAATTTTGAGTAAACCTAAAATAATAATATGGTGTATGATGTGTTACATGTGTACGTTACCTTATTCAAGTAATTATTCCTTTTTCCTTCAACAAAAAAATGTAATTATTCCTTTTTCTTTACTTATTACTCGTATAATGTATCACATATAATATTAATTTTGATGTTTTCGGATGGTTTGGAATCAGATAATTTTTATCATAAAATTTATATTATACTGTATTATGAAAAAAAGACATGTAAGATAGGAAAACAATAGTTACGAAGTATATATGGAGTACAATACAAGTACCTACTTTGAGTCAATGTCACATTATTTAAACTTGTTACTTCTAAGTTTATTTTTTTTTTAATATATATTTGATTATCTCAAAAATAGACAAAGTCATACAACTTATAAAAAAAAAATTAGTGGGAAGACGAGATACAATTTGGGCCCCCTCTTTTCTAGCTATAGCAAATCCTACCCTAGTAGATATATGAGCAGCAGCACGGGCCCAATGTCTTGCGTCATCGAGATCTTCTGAACCCGCTTCAGCAATATAATGAAACAACCTCGTTCTCTAATTAGCCAAGTGAAGAAAATGAGAAAGGAATGAAACCATAACCAATCACCTAACAGCTAGATTTGTACTTGATTTAGCTCGAACAAGCTTCAATGGAGAAATAGAAAAGCACGAACAAGCTTCAATGGAGAAGGAAGACAAACCTTTACCGACCTTAAGGGTTAACCATGCCCTAATTTCTCTAATTTTCCTAGGGTTTTTCGTTTAATTCGACGGCGAAGCCACTGACAATTTGCCGCCGAAAAGGTGAAAGAGGTTGAAGAATATAGGGGATAGCGAGATACCAGGTAATGTCAAGCAAATCCAAGCGGTGGTTGCAAGATGCCGAGATCTGGTGGGTACGCGGCGTGGTTTGCAGTTGGCGTGAATTGAAGAAGAACCAGTCAGATTGAAGAAGAAGAAACGTGTCGTTGACGATAATATAACAACAGATATCCTTCCATTTGCTCTGGACATTATCACCCTTACTTTTATACGCAAAATGACGAATTTGTCCTGATATAAACAGTCCAAGTTTCTCTCCGATATTAACCTAGCCGACTCTTATAAAATATCACTGCATAAGATCTAGACTAAACGAGCCAGAAAATTCTTTAAGTTAATTAAATCAAATCAACATTCTTTATATTAAGCAAATTATATATCATGCACAAGATTTACCTAAACAAGTTACTCGAATGTTCTTCAATATTATTATCGATGTTAAGTAAATCAAATCAATAATCTTTACATTAAATATATCACGCACAAGATTTACCTAAGCAAGCTACTAGAATATTCTTTACATAGAGTAAATAAAATCAACATTCTTTATTAAAAAAGAAATCAAAGCCATTTTTAATGTTCATATATATGCTATTACCTTTGGAATTTCTAATCATCTTCAATTCATAAATATATTCTTATGATAAAATTTTCATACTACTAAACAAATATTATCAGTTATTTCTGATATAATAAGAACTGCATGCCAATTCAACAAAAGATGGCAATTAACATGCTCACTTTTTAGTCAGAGAATTTGCAATAATTACTATAATTTTTTGAATCTTAATATAACATTGCTACCGTATACATTTTTACAAAAAAATATTTCAGGAAAAATGTTTTGAGTAACACTTTATGGAATAGGTATGTATGTAGGTCAAATGGAAAATAATTTGAACGTGCATCTAGGCTGTCAGTTATATTGATAGTGTAATTCGTAAAAATAAAGAATTGTAAAGGGATTGGTGATTAACTACCTTTAATTCACCATCTACTTTATTTATCTTTTTGCTCAATTTCATGAGTTTATGTTTACATTTTGTATTATCAATTATCATAAATTAATTAGGTCTCCAATATTTTGTTCCATATCTTTTTGTTTGTTATATATAATGGATTATTTATGTACAATTTATTTTAGACTTACCGTGCGTCGGATCCTAAGCTAATTAATGATAAAGGAGCTAAATTAAGGATTTGCATAAACAAGATGGGTAAACAAACACTTTCCTCGTAACAAAATTCCTTTTCCTTTTCTTTTTCTTTTTCTTTCTAAAAAGACAACTCTTATTGCTAAATATGAAAAGCACAATTTACTTATTACAAAAACTAATGTTAACAAATCTTTGCTGTGTGAGAGTGAAATGGAAAAACAATGCTTACCAAAACAGAAAAAATAATCCCTTAAAATAGAAAGACAGTTAGCGATGACAACGCTTGGAAATTGGGTTGAGGACAGACACATGGGGTGAAAATTGAAGGAGAAAGAATTTGTTCTTAAAAAAGCAAACTTAAAAAAAAAAAAAAAAAAAAAAAAAAAAAAAGAGAAGAAGAAAATAAATGAAAGGTAGATTTTTGAATTTATTACTTGAGAAAGGGGAAGGAGAAAGGAAAGAAAGGAGCACCTTAATTGTGTATGTTTTCAAAGAGGAGTATAAATCCTCTGAGAAGACTACTCTTTATCTATTCTTCTTCATCATTTTCATTGTCTTGCGCTCTCTTTGGCTTGTTTTCGTCGTGCCTGAATACCTTTCTCAGTGTTCAGGGTTCGTTCTATCTTTCTTTTACAGATTAATACTTTACATTAACTAACATTTAGTGTAAGGATGAAATTAACGTTCTTGTTATTATGATTGATGTTTTTTTTTTCTTTGAGTAAATACAATTTGATGATGTAATTGTTATGTTCTTTTACAAAGTATCTTTATGAATTGTTAAAAAGAATAAAATTAAGGTTGTATATACTACTTCTTTCATGAACTTTACGTTATGTTATCACCTTTTTCGATCAATTCGCTCTTTTTTGTTCTTGATCTTGTTAAAATTGGAAAAATGAGTTTTTGTTGAGATTGTGGTAATTTATATGAGAACTAATCAAATGATCAAAATCTATATGTTGTTGCTTTCTTTGTTTTATGTGAGTTTACAATTTTTCATTCATAATTTTTTTTTCTTCGTATATTAAAATTAGTATCTGTAAGTGCTATTTGTGCTTGTTTTTGATGAGTTACGCAATCTTAAACTATGTTAAATTATTTTTTCATTATTTGAATGATAAATCATGCAGAATTTTGACGAGATATGTACAGAGGAGCGAGGGACAAATACATAGGTAAGTTAATTATTAAATATTTCAATTTTTTTTTTTTCAATTCGTTATGATTTGTGCATAGTTTAATGAATCATTCGTCTTAATTATTTTTTGTAATAATTGATTGTATGTAGGAACATATATCCAATGGCTACAGTTCTTGGGATAGCTAAATGTTGAAAGGAATTTTGAATTTCTTCCTCTTTGATAATCAACCTCAATTTCAGAAGTCTACTAAAAAGAATTGTCAAGTGCTTATTCTTCAATCACCCTCACTTGAACTCGATTCCGAAATGGCTGTAGCTGTTGATCAACATCATGGATTAAAACCTCCTGCTCGATCCCAAAGATGTAGGCTTCTGTCTTTCACTAATCTTGACTTTTCTGCCCTCGAGCCTAGCCCAACTGATGTGGCTCGTTCCTTGGGGCAAGCTGATCTTAGTGGGAGCTTCCAACGGCGTAGTTTCTCTACTCCTTGCTTGACCTTAACTAGTAAGGTGGATGGAGTTTATTGTGATAGTCGAAAGGTTGAACTAATTGGTGGTAAGGGTGCCTCTAAAGCGCGAGCACTTGTTGTTGAAGTTGCTATTGCTTTGGCCTCTGGTGTAGAACCAGTGCCGGTCTCAAATGGGTTAGGAGGGGCTTACTTTATAAATAATAGGAACAAAGAAATTGTTGCGGTCACAAAGCCAATGGACGAGGAGCCTTTAGCATTTAACAATCCAAAGGGGTTTACAGGGAGAATGCTTGGCCAGCCTGGTCTAAAACGCTCAATTCGAGTTGGCGAAACTGGTATAAGAGAGTTGGCTGCTTATCTCCTTGATCATGATGGTTTTGCTGGAGTTCCTCCTACAGCACTTGTCAAATTCTCCCATGTTAATTTTCATGTCAATGATCTAGCTCCTATCACATCATCACGATACAAGATCGCGTCTCTTCAACGTTTTGTAGAGCATGATTCTGATGCAGGGGATCTGAGTCCTTCTGGTTTTTCGGTCTCTTCGGTTCATCGTATTGGGATCCTTGATATAAGGCTTCTAAACATCGATCGACACTCCGGAAACATACTTGTTAAGAAGTATGAACTTGACAAGCACTCTCTAGGTGCCGCCGAGCTCATTCCTATTGATCATGGGCTTTGTTTACCTGAGTGGTTAGATGACCCTTATTTCGAGTGGCTCCATTGGCCTCAAGCATCAATACCCTTTTCAGATGCCGAACTAGAGTACATATCAAATCTTAATCCATTTGAAGATGCTAGGCTTTTACGTACTCAACTCCCTCGCCTCAACGAGTCTTCCATTCGTGTTCTTGTGGTTTGCACCATCTTCTTAAAGAGAGCAACTGCTGCCGGTTTATGCCTTGGTGACATTGGTGAGATGATGACTCGAGATTGCCATGGCGGCGAGGAAACAATGAGCGTGTTGGAAAGAATTTGTGCTAGAGCAAAGGATGCTGTTTCTTTGCTAAGAAAAGATATCGAAAAGATAGTAGAAAATAATGATTCTTCTATGTTTTTGTTTGATGAGGAATGTGAACAAGGCATCACAAAAAGTATGTCTAAACATTATAACAAGGCATTACAAACACAAATTTCTACAACAGGAAAGCCACCACTTGCACCAGCACCTCATTATGTAAAGGAGTTTTCACCTGATGAAAAGAAGTTATGCTCACTAATAGAGCATGTACATTATAAGAATGTTGACATCGAGGCTAATAATGAAAATCGCAAGGCCGGACACTTGGTTAAGAGCATTAGTTTCGCGGTACCAAGTAGAAAGAATGAAATCGAGGGCATCTCTTTTAAAAACTTAGACCAAGAAGAATGGGAATTATTTCTCGAAATTTTGGAAAGCCTTTTACCTGAGGTGTTTGAGGAACGAAAGAGTAGTGGTATAACCCAAAGAGTGGGTTCAGCTTGAAAAAAGTTTCGATAATAAGCTCCCTTAGCTTGCTACAAAGTTTTTCATTTAATTCTAGAGAAAAAGCTAGTAAGTATTCCATATTATCAACGCCAAAAGTATGATTAGCAATGTTGCCCTAATTATTTACTTGTTTGTATCATTAGATGTTTAATACTAGCTATTACTCGAATGTAGATATAGCTAATTAGGTTTGAGGGGGAAAAGAGATCGGCCACAAGTTGAGATCCTTTCCCCTATGATGCCTTCTTCCCCATCTATTGTTTTTGTTAATTATTTTTAACAATTTCTTGACAATCTTGTATACATGTCAAGAGATAAAAAAAACAAAAGATATGAAATTGTATAAGTATACATCTTGTAATATAATGGAAAAGCAACTTGGTGTTTATATTACATAATTACAAGTTTCTAGTTTAGAGGGAAAATAAAACAAGTTGATCTTCGAAAAAGTAATACTCCGTATGAAGTAAAAGAACAATATGCAAGACAAAGATAAGGATAAAGTCTTTATCATCATAGTGAATTGATACCTAGGGGCTATTTACCAAAAAAAAAAAAAAAAAAAATTGATACCTAGGGGTGCTAGCATAAGGGAAGAAACATTCTATTTTGACATTTTATCTCAACTCATATATATCGAATTAAAGTAATGCCATTACCCCCTTCATCCCTTCCCGTGTTTTAAGGGTAAAATAACATATATTTAGGAAGTTTATTTTATGCCCCATGCTAAATTTCTTTTATAGGTACCAATTATTTCTTCCATGTGTTATTGAGATTGTTAATATACGTAATTTATAAGAAAAAATAACAACACAATTCTGAATTTCTAAATCTTTTATACGCAAGATTCATAATTTATACGGAGTATAAAAATTGTTCTACTCAAGCTTCAAGATCTGCCACTGCGTGACCGGGTCAACGCCGGAGCAATGGGTCAAATAGTCACTTTCCAGCATTAGGTGTTAACTTGCAGCATTTTTTTGAAAAGTGGTGGCCTTTTGCAACATTTTTTTTTATAAGGTGGATAGTTGCAAAAAACGAGATTTTTTCAAAATTTCCTAAATTATACTAGTATAAAAAATATTAAACAATTTAAATTTACCTCATCATTACATTAATGAATCTTGTTTTAATCCATTTTTTAAGATGATTATGATGATAATTTAAAATTTTCTGAAATGTGCGAAAATTTTATTCAATCATTTGTGATCATTAATTGAAAATCAAACTCTATTTTTTCGTTTCTTTCTCCTCCTATTTCTAGCAATATTTCTTACTGTTGTGCGCTGCGGCTTGTCGGAAACCACCGCATCCGACGATCTTCCGTCGAGGTGGCCGTCAATTTCTATTTCGATTCTAGCTGACGGCGGCAAGAGCTTCGAAGGTAAATCAATTTAATTTTACAACTTTATATCAATTTTGTGGTTCAAGCTGTTTTTCATCATACCCTTTTGTTCTTAAGGCCTGTGCTGTAATTGGGGATTTGAGATTGGGGGATTAGATTCATGGGTCGGTGTTGAAACTAGGGTTTGAAGGATATTTACATTTATGGTTGTTGGGAGGGAGGAATTGTGGATGCACGTAAGATGTTCGATGAAATGCCTTAGAGAAAAGCTGATTGTTGTAGCCCAAGATTGATTTTATATTCTATTACTATTACAGTCATTAATTTGAAGAATGTAATTTAGGGTTTATAAATCCAGTGCAGAATAATTTGGTTACTTAGTGCTTTTGTAATTTTATCGAAAAATTTGAGAATTTAGAGAGTTGAAAAACTTAATTAGAAATATCCCCTGAAATCTGAGTAGAGAGCTTTGCAAATTGAAGATTGTAATACTGGGTATTATTTAATTTTGTTGGAAGTTTCAATCTTTTGAAGATGAAATTAGTTTGTTAACTTATCTTAGGTTTTTATTTGAATTTTAGCGATTTTGTCAACCAACTTCCGATTTTAAAACTGAATGGTGTTGTTCATACCAAAAAAGCTCTTTGTTTGTTAGTTATTTAGTTAGTTTGTTGTTGTTTTAGTAACTGGGAAGAAGCATGTAGGCATTACAAAGATGTGGGGCAAGCTGTATAGAGAAAGATCAGGATTTGATCGGGTGATTCGATGGATAAAGGAGTAGTTGACTAGTTGTTGATCTTAAGAGGATGTGGGAACTTTGAAGGAGGGTTTTGTTGAGAAATTTGAATTCTGAAATATGAACAATGCTGAGAGGAGAGGGTAATTTTCGATCTACCAAATATTGAGAAGGGGTCTTTTTAATTATTTTCTGGTTAATATTGTTGTGTTTCAGCCAATGTTATACGTGATCATTAACGAAAGATTGCATTTTGCTTCTTGTTAGCTATAATAAATTTGTATGCCTTGACTGATAACTGATAAGCTGTGCTAATGAAGTCAGTGGGTTAGAATATCGTAGATGAGTTTTGGACTTTTGGGATGTAAATTTTGGCTCCAGGCAGAGTAAAATATTCTGTAATTAGCTTGTTTTGAATCTCTTCTGTCCATTGTAGGGTCATTCTTTTTATTTTCGGAGCATCCCAAAATCAGAGCAGAGCACTGCATCATAATTTATGAAAGCATTTTATTAGTTAGTCTCTCAAAAGTTGGAACCAAGGTAATTGTAGAGTACCTATGCAATGGCTATATCCCAACTGAGAAACTCTAGGCTTCCATTGATGAATTTAGTAAGAATGAATGGAGTACCTATAATACAGCAGCTACATCTTGAAGAAAAGCTGCTTCGAACTTCACCAGAAAATTGGTGTATCATTAATGATGGAACACCCGATCCTACAGTTGTCATGGGAATATCGGGGTAAGTTGTTCTTTGCCCTGGTGCCGGAATCCTCTGAGCATAAGAAGTAGCTTTGCAGTTTAGCTTTATAACAGTTAATGTGAGCACATTAGGATTACCCAAGGTATGGTAAGCTGAAGATTATTGCATTCTCCTCTTTTAATAAGTGGCATGCATTTTTAGTTCATGAATTTTGTCAATCTACATACTTTTACTTCTCTACTATGTTTGGCCCTGAGGCACAAGAAGAAGGAGCCTATATGATTCTAATACCATTCCAAGATTGACCAAGAGAATATTGACCATCTTGGCATTGGTGTAGTTCTGAGCTCTAGTTATGTGCTTCCTGATTTTACAAATTAATTATCTAGGCATAATATATACTCTGCTGCAGTATCTGTAGTACTGTAGTTGAGTTTGATGACAGGGAACTTCATATATACTGTAAAACCTAATTTTAAACTTTGGCAAATAATTTACTTTAGATTTGCAAGGTTCCTGGAAGATGTGATTTGCTTGATGAGGTCTTTGTTTGTTGTCATGCTATCAGCAAGGCTGCGGAACTTCTTGATGTTAATTCCGTGCTGCGAGATAAGATTTCTGTCATCAAACGATTCACTGGGGGAGGTACTGTTATTGTCGATCATGGGACAATCTTTGTTTCATTCATATGCAACAAGGAGGCTGTTCCTGGTTTGCAAGCATATCCTCAGCCAATAATGGCATGGAGTAGTCTATTGTATGATGAAGTCTTTCGGGGATCTGAGGACTATAGGCTACGTGAAAATGGTAATTGATTACAAATGTTTTAGATCCTCTATTGTTGTCTTGCATAAGATTCCTCCCTAAATGTTTTCTGGGTGACTAACATTTCTGAATCCTTCAAAATGATTCAAGGAGTTCTCCCTCTGGTTTCTAATGTAAGACACCCACTTTTTTGTGGTAAATACTTTGGGTTTATTTCTTTTCTTTTCTTTTCTTTTATTATTTTTTTTTCCTCAAATTTTGTCATTTTTGTAAAATGTTTTTACTATGAAAGTTCTTTTAGACATTTTTCCAAGGGCATAAATTTAATATATTTAGCAAAATTTGCAGCACAATATAATATTTAAAAGTCTGATGATGTGTATTAAGAAATACAACGAGCTTTATGTATGTTTAAATATACATTTTCTTGTTTGTTTTGTGCATGACTCTTACATAAGAGTGTGTTCTTGTTTCACCTTGGCTTCTGTTCCGTGATGAATGGATTCTAGGACTAGAAGGTTGGTCTTTTGCTGCATGCTGAGCTGGTGACATCAATTAAGTTTGCTCTTCCACAGATTACGTGTTTGGAAGCCGAAAATTTGGAGGCAATGCTCAATCCATCACTAAAAATAGGTGGATCCATCACACATCATTTTTGTGGGACTATGAAGATGCAAATATGACGTACTTGAAAATACCTCAGCGAGCACCAAAGTATAGGCAGGTGTGTAACTTGTGTTGCTTATTTTCTAATTTAATTTTTATGCAATAAGGGCCTTGGAGCTTAATGAACCTTCACAGTTCTTACCTAAAGAATAGAACTACCTTATTCGTCCATCTTTACATGCTTATAGAGTAATAGATACTATACAAGTATACAGTATCAGGCAGCTGCTTGCGCTCTGTAATGAAATGTATATCTCATGTTCAGGCTAGGGAGCATTCAGAATTTATATGTCGCATGAAGGATGTTTTACCGAGATCAGAATTTATCCATCGTACAATCAAGGCAGCTGAAACCCATTTTTCGTTGACATCCATTCCACTGGATCAAATTGAATCTCTTGATAGTACAAAGTTTAATCCGTCTTCCAAGATTCTAACAACAGAGGAACTGGAGGCTACAATCCAAAAGGAAGATGACAGTTTATTATCCCAGTCATTGTGAGGATTTGCTCGTTTGATCAGCAAGCCAAGAATACTTTTTTCTTCATGGAATTATTATCTTCATTACATCATAATTCATGAATTTAATTGTATAGAAACTTTTATAATTTGAACTAACCAATTTTTGACTCACCACTAAAAAGCACAGCTAAAAAGTGGTTACTGTTGAATTAATAAATATTGGTAATAATTGATATTATGATCTCAATTATTTTCTATACTTGTTGAATATGACGTCTGAATAACAAGTTATGTTAGAATATTATTTGTTTCATGGCCGACTATTTTGGAGTATATTTGACGCTCTGTTGTCGAAGTACTACGAGGTTAAACAATAATTACACCAAGTAATATTTTAATTTAATTTTTTATGTTCTAAAGTCTTACAGTATTTCCACGAGTTGGCCACATTTCACAAAAAAATTAGTATGATATACTTTCATAAACTAAATAAGAGCTAAAAAAAAAATAAAATAAAACTCAATTACAGTAGTATGATATGGTAGTTGTATGTTTAATTTGCATAAAGATTCCTTAAAATTTTCTGCATATCTTTGCTCCATATTCTTCTTAACCATAATATAATTTGGCATGATGTCCAAATCACGAATATTACCATAATATTTGGAAGCACATGCTAAAAATACATTTATTATATACAAAAGTAATAAAATCTCAACTAAAAGCATAATTACAGTTATTTGGTAAAATCTCATAATAAGTTAACTCATTGAAAAAAGCTAACTGACGCCGTCCATGACTATATTCAACTGTAAATTTTTATTTTTATTCTTTGACCATCAATTTCCTAAAAGAGATATCAAATACAAAATCAAACACATTAAATAGACTAATCAAACGCACAAAAGATATGATATCAAGACTAATCAAACATGACTAATCAAACACACAAAGGACATGATATCGAATCACATTATGTATACTTTTTATATTTACAAAATTAACTCTCCAATTTCAGGAATCATCTAAACTTTTGAAAAATTAAACCCTAATCAGTTTAATGACCTTTCAAATTAAAACTTGTATACGTCAAACATATCAAAAATTAAATTTTTGACATACAAAAATCAACAAAAACAATATTTGTCCGGCTCTTACCTCTAATCAAGACAATTCCACAACACAATTATTTTTAGTTTTGCCAAGAAGTTCTTTACCAATATGATAACTAACAAATGCATCCATACAAGCATACATAACTTGACTATCATCAAGCACTTCTTGATTCCACTTACTCATTGTAATCTCCTTAGCCTTGACCATCTCCCACCCCAACACCGCGTCCGCCACCTCTTTGAGCCCCGCATTCACTCTGACCTTCCCCGCCTCGGCCGCAACCTTGCTGACATCCGCCATACTTGACAACCGCAGATCATAATCCTTTAAAAGCCTTTGAGAGTCACCTGAGATTCCGACACCGGAGAACTTGCATTGTGGGTCTCCTAGGAAATCCTCGAGGGCTGAGGGGATCGAAGGCGAATGGAGGAGCTGGTAGATGAGGCAATTGGGACCTACACATAGTTGTAGGGTTGCTATAGGGTTTAGCCACTCGGTGTCTAGCCCGATTATGGTTGAATCATGGTTGGATCGGATGTGGGTGATCCATGATGTTACTACGTCGGGGCAACGTGTCACGATGGTCCGAACCCGATGGTTGAAACACGTCACGTCGTAGGCTGTGTAGGTGTTGGTTTCATGATGGTTAACTATTTTTGGTGAGGCTGCCATTGATTTCGGTAATTAAGTTTTTTTTTTTTTTTTTTTTTTTTTTTTTTTTTTTTTTTTTCCTTTTGTGACAGAGTATTAACAGGCAAAATTGACTATATCAAGAGAATATTAAGAGAATTTGTTTTTTTCAAGGTGAGAAAAAAGAGAATATATATATATATAGTAGGTTTATATTAAGAGATGGATGCATGTTTTGCTAGGTGTTTGATGGCATGTATCCTGCCGAGCCAGAGAATGATAGAATAATGGCATTTTATTTTGTGGAGGACTCAGCATAGCATGACCAAAGTTTGGGTTTTATATGGCTAGCAATTTCGATGATAATATTTTTTTTTTTTTTTTTTTTTTTTTGAAATAAATACCGTCTATATAGGAAGAACTTTAAATAATACAGGTGGTATTATTTTAAATTTACATTAATTCTCACAGGCATGATTACAAGCATATTTGGGCACCTGGAATAGTTTCCTATTGAAAATGAATCACTTGAAATATAGAATAAAAAATTTATCATATCAATTAGGATATTATCTTAATAAATATCGGATATTATCTTTCTTCATTACATTGATTATAGTTGATTCGATAACTTAATCACACAATTAATTTACTACGTAGAGTATTTATACATCCGAGTGCATCTACCCGTCTATCTTGCTTTAGGTACATCAAACCCACGAATGAGCAATAACAATGCCAATCCACTCATTATAAAAAACAAGGTTCTTAAAATGTAAAAAGTGGAGCATGACTAGGTGTAGCTAAAAGTTTGCATTAATCTTTGTCTTTTCTTATGTGTTTAAATAACAAATATCTCATTCTTTCGGTGCACTGAATTAAAACAATTCACAAATAAACATCACTGGTTTGTCAATTGATATATTCTCTACCTTAAGTTTAGTATAAATAGTGAATGCCTAGGACAATGGAGTTGTTAGTCTTATTGTAATGTTCTCTAAATTTTGTTTAGCAGGATAAATAGATGTGATAAGCAATTACGTTATATTATACGTTGTTTAAAAGTCTGAAAATGAAAACTAGCTAAAGTAATTTACAGAATTTTAAATTTGACCTTGTATTATTTAATATTGTATATGTTACCATGAGTCCTGAGTCCATGATTGCAAGGAAAAAAAAAACAACAAAAAGAAAAAAAGTAAGTTATGATTAGTACAAGGAGATTACCTATATTAAGGTAATTTATGTGAATAACCATACCCTAAGTTTAGGAAATAAGTTAAAACAAGAATATACATACATACCTTAATATAGTACAAGGAGATTGCTAAGAATATACATATTACTTCGTATAAAATACTCCCTCCGTTTCATAATGTTAGTCCTTCATACTATTTTAGGAGTTTTAAAAAGATCTACCCATATTGAATATATTTCATTTTAACTTAGTTTTTATTTTCTATTTTATACATGTTATATTCTAATTAGTTAAATTAATTGATTGTTGATTGATGACATGACTCTATGTAAGAAAATTTCTCCCTTGAAATATGAAATTATGGTTGATGTTTTAAAAAAAAAAATCAAAAAATTTAAATAAGGCAAACTAATTATGAATTGTATTTATACACTAATGTTAGATTCCAAATATTCTTTTCTTATTTTATGTGATTGATTCCATATGGGACTATCAATCTATCATATAGAAACAGAGGGAATAGTACATAAGTAAAGTAGAACATTAAATTAAATAATAAAATAGTATTGAGAAGATATATAATATCAAGTGATACTCTAATCTATAGGTGGGAGTTATGAAAATCAAATTCGGCTAAATTTTTATTAAAAATACTAAGGGTTGATTTAAAATTGAGTAGATATATAAAACACAAATCAAATCATTCATAATATAATTAGATGAATGTCATTCTATATGTATTCAATGATGAGTGCATAATTATATGAACGAAAAACAGAACAGGTAATAAAAAATGTTCAAAAAGGTGGTCCAATAAAGAGATTTAATTATTTAAATCGTTACAAGTATCAAGTATTCGATCATGCATGCAAATTTTTATTTTTATTTGCTTCTAATGAAAGTATGTCACTTTTGCATTATTTAAGTAAGAAATCCTAATTACTACTAAATTATTAACATAAGACGGTTTGGCCGAGTGGTCTAAGGCGCCAGATTTAGGCTCTGGTCCGAAAGGGCGTGGGTTCAAATCCCACAGCCGTCACATTTTTAATATATCAATATGTTTAATTACATTAATTTAACCTTGTATAATTTTTTAAATCCTTAATATATGATCTTATTATTCTTATCATATAATTATGTATTTTGGTAGGAGTGCCAATACTTTAATGGAGTAGCTCTCTCTCACTAATCTAGCTATATGATTTGGGAAGCACGTTACATAACAATATGAACAGATTATAATTAACAATATAAATATGTTAAGGGTTCTAGTTCCCTAAATGCACTACATACACTAAATTTTCTTCTGGTAACATTACATTTTTATTAAGTAAATTATCATTTGAATAAAAAGATGAGCAATAGTAATAAGCAGGCGGCGTTGGTGATGTTTATGGTGGTGGTTCTTGTGCTCGTAGCACACGCCGTGGGACGACAACAAAGGGTTGTACATTATGGTTCGGAGAGAGTAGCAGAGGTGAAGAAATGCCTGAGTCGCATCGACGCTCTGGAGTAGAAGCTCTATAAGGACTTGACCGGGAACTCACCAGAAATTGTCAAGGATTATAAGGTTAGAAGAAGAACGCACGGAATGCATGGCATTTCTAATGAAAGGATTTTGAAATGATTTTTAATTAATTTTAACATTAAAAAATAATTTAAACATCATTAAATCACAGCCGTTCTCTCAATGTTCTTTTTCTAAAAAAAAAACCCTAACTTCTTCCTCCATTGTCTTGGGGCTACCATCAATCTTCTAAAGGTTGATGGTAAGCCCCTTATCTCTTCTTTTCCTTTTATTATTATTTTTGTTTATATTGCTTACAATAAGGCCCTATTTTATCCTCTTCGTGAGACCTCTAAATTCTCTTCATGAGATCTATCATTCCGTTTTATCGGATTTGTCATTCTCCTTTGTGAGATCTATTTGGGCCAGGTGTGTTTGTTTTCCTTTGGAAATTAATTTGTTGATGGAGCTTTGTGCGGGATTACAACAGATTTTTGTATTTCCACTACGCACATTCAAGAGAATCGAATCAAGATCTACTTCAAAACTAATGCAGATCGATAGAACTTCTCGTGAAAAGCTGTAGGAAGAAGCAGTGATGTGAAAGAGCGATTGTACTAGCAGATATCTCTCATAGCGATCTAAGTTTTGTCAAAGTAGAATGTAATTTGATCCATATTGATTGATATGTCTTTGGTAGTTATTGATTTCTATTATAGATGTTGTATGACTTCCAATTAATAAATTAACTTTTTTCAAAAAAAAAATCCTTGTTTGTGTATTACCATTTGTGCAAGTGTGATGCATGCCTATGCTTGCTTACATGTAAGAAGCATCGATGCCATTTTATTTCTACATTCGAATATGTCATCAATTAAAATTATTATGTGTGACATTTTCTTATGTCAAATGTTGTATTACATTATGGGTTGAGCTCTATTTTTTATAGTGCGTACGTACCATGGTACCAATTTAAACTATATTGTCATCGCTTGCTTTATTAATGACTTGTAATTTCAATTGATATAAGTTGATAGTTCTAATTAAATCAAAATCACACTTAATGTAATGCGAAATAATAATTTTAGCAGAACAAAGATTATACGACGAGTAACACAAATATGGAGTAATGAAATCAAGGAAATAGGAAGTATTCTACACTGTATATTCATAACTCCTCTATGAAACATATCAAGACGCTTTGGAGATGGCAGGAAGAACATTATGTTGCAATAACCAGTCTGCCATGATTTTGTAAGCATGTTCAGTCATATGAATTCCATCCCAATTTACACTCTTGTCGGGATTAGGACACACCGGAACCCCTTTCATTAATCCACATATATTTGTTACACCAAAATTGGCAATATTATCACCCTTCCCGCAACATGTCCTTAGTGTTTCGTCGAATCCTGCATATATAAATCTACTATTAGTTCCTTTCTTCAAGTGTTCGAGCTGCTGTTACTTAATACTTGTAACCCTTTGACTATTACGTTATCCACATACTCATGAAAAAAAAAAAAGTCTTTAATTAAGTAACTTGTTATTTGCTTTAACTAACGTATTAAAAGTGAACATATCAATGACTAATTTGAAATTTTGCATTGACATGCGTAAAAGTGAAAAGGTCTATGTTACTATGAAAAATTAAACTAACCAAGAGCAGTGGCATTTTGAAGGAGTCCTTTCATGGCATTAAAGTAGTCAGCATAGACGATTGTAACCGACGGGTGTTCTGCTTGAAGTTCTCTAACAATTTTTTGTACGAAATTGTTTTGGAACGTGCTTAACTCATTCAATTCTTCAAGACAATGCAGTTCATCATACATTGTTGCGGAATTAGATGGAAACATATAAAGATAAATTGGCAGACAGCCGATTACAAAATTTCCAGGAACCACAACACGAGTTGCACCAATGCTAATTACTTCCTACATGAGCGATATATAGTAGTTCAATTAGAATATACTTCCTCCGATCTTTTATTAGGAGTTCATGTAAAGAAAATCGTTGCAATATTAAAAAACGGAGTAAGTATGATATTAGCATAAACAACAAATACTAGTACAACTTACCTCAACGGCGGCTTTAACAGCCCCAACAACCTCGGGTACCATACCATATATGTCTTGCATACGTTTCCTTTCTATTAAAGCATAATTGATGTCATTGCCACCGGATTCAATAATAAAAAGCGCATTGGCAAGTTTACTTTTGCAATCTACATACATAAAAGATACAAATAATCGTGAACTTTAAATTCATTTGTAAATATCATATGACTTTTTATTAATGAATTGATTTAATTAGTTCAAAAAACAAAATAAATAT